GGAGAGAGAGAGAGAGAGAGAGAGAGAGAGAGAGAGAGAGAGAGAGAGAGAGAGAGAGAGAGAGAGAGAGAGAGAGAAAGAAAGAGAGAGAGAGAGAGATTTCGCATTTTGTTTCGCAATGAGGGAGAACGCGCTGGAGGGAGTTAGAGGACGAGAGAGGAGAGGGATTTCGCATTTTGTTTCTGTGAAATTTGCACTTATAGAGTTACGATCATAGCGAGGCAAGTCACGTCGTATAGATATGATGACACTGACGTCCAGTCGCCTCGCCAGTTCCTTCTCAACACCACATTAAAATCGATCACATATATTGTGATTTGCATAGCACAGGAGGGACCGCCAATGCATTTCGCAACAGCGATTCGAACCGCAGCATGCAGCTGTTAAATAAAAGATTTATTTGTGTGCGATGCGTAATAAAATGCTTATTGTTGCGCGATGTGAATTCGGAACCACTGTTCACCGCGTGCCAGGAATGAGGTCATTCGTGCTTTATTGAAAGAAAGACGTTAACAACTTTTGTTGAATATGCGTACACTTTTCTTTCACCAAAATAACATATAGATGCGTTAACTATCGTAATCAAATTCTCTATTGCAATCGACGCATTTTTATTTTAGACGTAAATTATAATTTAACGAAGCTTTTAGTTTGGTTGGAACTGTGATATAATTCCATAATTTTTGCCATAGGCCATGTATTTTGGTTGTCTATACGCATGCGACGTGTGTCAATTAATGATGAAACCTGTTAATTATCATTCGTTACAAGCATTTAAATGCACGCACGTCGATAATCTAATAGAAGTTTTCGTCGCGATTTTTATTTCTTGTAGTGACGTCATGTATAATTTTCGGCTGTAGATTTCACGTAATTGCTTCGCGAAATCTTCTTCTCCGCTCCATAACGTACATTCCATCTAAGGTTTCCACTGAAGCCATTTATCGATAATGACACCTAGTCGGTCACTAGAGTAGCTCATATTCTGAAAAGCGATGCGCTGAAAATGCCGCTATTCAGTGCAAGATGTATCAATTCTCTATATATTACCAATCGAAATACACAAAAGCTCTCTTTATGTTTAGTAGTGCTATAGTTATATATAGAATATGTGTAAACCCGGCATAAATGTATTGAATATAGTCGGTCCGCAAACATCACGCGAGACAAAATCTGCGGAGACAAAATCTGCGGAGACAAAATCCTGCGGTAAACAGAACCCTTGTGCTGCAAGTACCCGCGTGCTGGTTATATCACTATTCGACATGTGTACGTGCGTTATTATTTTTTAAACCCAGTAATGTACCTAAAAAGGAAATGTGTGTCGAATTCTACATTATACTGTCTGCTGCAGGTCAAGCGGAGGCAAACGATTGGAATTTAATAACACCGGGCGCAGTTACTAAAAATTCGTCTAATTTAATCGGCATCACCACACACCCATTTGGCATTAAATGTCATCGGTGCGAGAACGTCGGTCAATTAACTAGGAAATTGTGTTAAGGACATGATAATTTCTAAAGACGTGCACGCTCTTCATCGGTTTAGCCGGCCCGGAATGCAGTGGGCGGATGGCACCAGGAAATGAAGGGTGGCTGGAGCTGTGGCTAAAAGTCAAGTGACGCAATTCTCGCTCGCTCGCTCTCTCTCTCTCTCTCTCTCTTTCGCCTGAGCACGCTCTCTCTCTCTCTCTCTCTTTCGCCTGCGCACGCTCTCTCTCTTTCTCCTGCGCGCGCTCTCTATCTCTCGCTCTCTCTCCCCCGCGCGCGCTCTTTCTCAGCCTCTCACTCTATTTCGCACTCTCTCGCGCTCTCTTACTTTCTCGCGCTCTTCTCTCTCACTTTTACGTCTCTTTCAGCGCTTCCTCTTCTAATGAACTCGAAGTCATCCAGCATTACGTGATCGCAGGGCGCCTCCTCACGCTATATAGGATTTCGCTTTACGTAGTTTCCGCTCCTTGTAGTTGCACTAATGCTGCTGACTGTAGACTTCTTTCGACATTACAGTCAGCCACAAACGTGTACGTATCGAGTCTGGCCTGCCTCCGTCTGCGTCACCTTAAGGACTAGGCACCATTAGGACCCT